TGCATAACATCTGCAAAGTTATGACGTTCAAAGTTCAATGCAAAGGGAGATTTTACAGAATAATTGCTTTTTAAGGACTACAACAAACAGCTGGTAGGGACTACAACGAGCTTCTTCCCGGGTTGTTGACATCACAAACCTTAAAATGTACATAAATCCTGCCCCCGGGAACACGCAACAAAGGGGGCAGAGGAAGAGTTGTTGTTGCAGTTTTTACCCCACCCGGAAAAAGTTTGTCCTAAGGCTGATGAACTTAGAGAGGTTAAAATGTATTTTTAACACTGTTCCTGAACATTATAACCTCAACGTTTGTCTGCGCTCCACATTTAATGGAGAACAGCTTCCAGAAGAGACTATGATGCATGCTATACGCACAAAAGCTTCTCCTGAAAGGCGTAGCCATTCCCATTTTGTCGGGACAATCTGTTGTTTATGGATCACAACTTGTAAGTAAAGTATGTCTTATTTGTAGCTGTGTTTTCTATTAACAGTTCCAATTATAAGCTTTATGTTGCTATGATAGCTATGATGTAAACGAAGAGCAAAGCTTTGCTTCCGCTAGCCTGCTAACTAACATTACAGTATTGATGTAGTGTTTACTTTAGCTTTTGTAAGCTCTTGCTTTTGTAAGACTGTTCACCGACCCTTAGGAAAATTAGCCATGATTTTGTGATCGATTACTGTTTGTATTACCGTAGTTTTCCAACAAATATGATTAAATGGTGGATAACATTGTATTTATAAGAAAATTACAAAAAAATATATCACTCTGAAACGTCCTGTTAAATCTGTGCTTGCAAAGTCTGCACAATCCTCTTGTTCGTTAACATTGTCAGGGTCTGAATCGGGTTTGAAATTGACGGCATCGTTAATATTTAAATCTCAGTAGAGCTTGTGGTTATGAAGGGGTGTGACATTTCCAAACATGCCTAAAGCTAGCTAACTAATCACAACACATTTCGTATTTTGGAAGGCGGGGCTTCATCGAAAACAATGTGTTGAACCAGACTGGGGAGAGAGGAGCTGTAATAGTGTAAAACATGTGAAAAATAATGCGTTTTTTGAACAATCAAGCATGAAAACATACGCTAGCACACCACAAAAACAAAATCAAGACTTCGTGAAAGGGCATAATTTAAAGCAATAGCCAATAACCTGGGCTTAGGAAAAGTGTAGAATGCCTATTAGAAAGTTATAATAAGCCATCGGGTCAAATAAAACCAAAAACCTTGTGATCTCAAAACCTGGCAACATTTAGACAAATACTGTACATAAGGCTACCACTGTACCACACTCAAGCGTTTATAAACCACACAGTGCATTATAATAGGCCTACTATTACCAACAGAAAGTGCACTAACTGTTTGAAGTGGAACAATGTAGCCATTACATAATGAACGACAGCATTTGTGAGTAGTTTATACAGTATGACTGCAGTGGTGAGGGCATGATGCCATGTGCGTCTGAGTTCTGCATTTTCCGTTGCCAACGAGGGAACTTGGGAAGGCCAGTATGTCTGAACATTATGTCATTTACTTCCTTAATGAGGTCTTGGGGTTTACGTTTGCTAACATTAGGAGACCGAATTACACTTTGTGGACCTTTGAAATCAAAATATTCAATGGCAGTGTCTTTACCCTATCAGTCAGCACATAATCTATTTGTGTGGTCTTGAACCAGATTTAATGTCCCCCCTAAATAATTTGTATCCCTTAAAAATCATATTTAATCACTAAAATTACATATTTAAAGTTTTTTCCTGTAAAAAACAATATTCATGCCTTAAAATTGCTTGAATGTAACTCTACACCCTTGCTTTATTTAGCATACGCGGATTTATTTGCCAAATATGCTATTGAGCCCCGCCTCCACTCACTCATACAGGGTCGTATTCGTCTACAAGTAGATGTACCAGAATGGTAATACGTTTTATGTATCGCTACAACATCAGACACATAACATGCGTGCAATTTTTTTTTAAAGTGCGAATATGAAGCTCCTACTCGAGGAGGAAAAAACATAAAATATAAAAATATATAAAAATATAAAATATCTGGTGCAGTTGCCGATATTTATATGGCCAAAAAGATGAAATTCTGATGCTTGTAATGTAAATCAATGAGATCTTTATAGACTACTTAGGCTACATAAAATGCATTGCATATGAATACAGTCACCAATCTATATCTCCCATATGTCAATGATGATTGAGAGATAAATAAATGTTCCTCAAAAACCTGATCATATTTGATACTCACTTTTTAACATGATTTTATATATACATATATATATATATATATATATATATATATGTATATATATAGGCCTATGGATCACCTTTTACTTAGTAAAAAAGTTATTCTTGCATTTACTACATTTATAAAATCATAAAAAAATTCACAGCAGAAAGCTAGACATTTTTAGACATTTGTTTTCAGACAATATACTTGCTGAAAAAGGTCATATGAATCAGATGACAGAAGGCATGTAGTTGATTGTGTACAACAGCAAATATTTGATATTTTTTTATAATTTAGAGGGCTTTGAAATGAATATGAAATATGATACAAGGCTTTAGGGTTAAACTACACAGCCTACATTAAACGGTTTCTGAGGTTCAACTTTCACCCCCAAAAAACGTGGCCTTGAGCAATAGAATCTGAATCTCATCAACAATCGCAAAGTCTGAGGTTGACAACTGACCATCCAATCAAATTTGACTATTTGCAGAATTGAAAGCAAAATTAAAGGCCGTAAGATCTGGAAAGCCTCAATGATGTAATGCTTTCACAGACATGTCCCATGGCGAGTTCCAGCGCTGGAAAAAGCAGGCCGATCAGGGTGCACAGCTGCCCATGCGCTCTGCTGTGGTGAGTTAGTACATGGGGCCCAACCCAACAAGGACCCCATTACACAGAACCGGGCACAACACCAGCACCAGCAACTTCTGCCAACAAACGTGAACAGGAAATCATGGAAAAACAGAGGCGGCGAGAGGGTGGGAGAGAGGGATGAAGCACATGGATGTGAACGCGAGTAAGAGGAAAGAAAACAGCAATAATGTAGTCCACACCACTGGGGCTCTCTATTACTGACGGAGAAACACTATAGTGATCGAGTCATCTGTGTGACCACATGGCCTTTTATAGCCTTTCTGCCATAAATGCACTGGCTAAATGTATATGACATTGAACATATACTGTATGCAAACGTATTAGGAGCTTTATGATAATATACAGAAGCTCAAAATCATTCAAATATTTATTAAAGAAATATAGAGCTTTATATGGACCACCCTCTATAGCCTATTAAATATAAATCACAACAACAACAAAAAAAGTTTTGGGAGCAGTATTCAACTACAACCCTTACATATACCCTATAAGGTTTTTACTAGGGCTGTCAAATGATTAATCGTGATTAATCACATCCAAAATAAAAGTTTTTTTTACATAATATATGTGGGTGCACTGTGTATAATTATTTTATATATATAAATACACACACATGCTTGTATATATTTAAGAAATATTTTCATGTATATACTGTATATAGATTTATATATAATTTATATTATATATAAATATAAATAATTTATATATAAATACTTTTTTTTTCTTAAATATACATGCATGTGTGTGTATTTATATATATACAAAATAATTATACACAGTGCACCCACATATATTATGTAAAAAAAACTTTTATTTTGGATGTGATTAATCACGATTAATCATTTGACAGCCCTAGTTTTTACGTTTATTTTTTTTAACAAAAAAGTGCTATAGGACTACAATGTTTCTGGACATGATACAGTGGTGCTTCAATGTTACAATGCTTATAATACGGATCTGAATTGTCGTAACAGTTCCGTTTGTAATTTCACACTGCCACCATGTGGATTTCTACTGCACTGCATTTGACTTCCTATGAACCGTTATTTACTGTTACTTCACATTTTATAGAAAGTTTTTTATTTACTGATGTTGATAAGGTACATATGCAGGTTATTACAAGACCTTGTTAAAATACCTCGACAACCCGCAGAGGAGGGAGTTTTCTGTGTTTGCAAAGCAAACAAAAAGTCCGTTACGTGCTTTTCAAAATCCACATTGCCAAACCGTAGCCTATACGAAAAAAACTAAATCATGTAAAGATGAATGGGTAGTGAAGATATGTAGTCTACACACATTAGGAATAGTAGCGATTATTTCATTTGGGTTCAAATGTGGAACTTTTCAATAGGAATAGGAAATTTCTATAATAAACTAATAAAGCTGCTATTATACCTAAACGTAGGCCTATTATAATAAAGAGAACAATTATAGTTTTAAATGACATACATTTATATTTTTTTCAATTACTTTTTCATATGTTTTTCATAAAGTGTTGAAATGTTGTATATATAGCCTAAACATTCTATTTTATTTGTAATAAAACTAATACATGTCAATCATTGTCTAATCATAGGCCTGTGTGTGTGTGTGTGTGTGTGTGTGTGTGAATACCAAAAACCCTTGACCTTGTGGGACTTTTATTTTTTGTCCCCATTGGAAAACAGCTTATAAATCATTACATTATAAATTTTTTGAAAATGTAAAAATGGAGAAAGTTTTCTGTGATGAGCAGGTTTAGGGGAAGGGTTAGGATAATTTTTGTACAGTATAAAAATCATTATGTCTATGGAAAGTCCCCATAAAACCCAACGTGTGTGTGTGTGTGTGTGTGTGTGTGTGTGATGTATTTGTATGAAGCTATGCATGCGTCTGCATTGTTTTAAATCAAATGTGACAGGGAACTGGGAAGCATATTTCACACACAATCATACTTTATACCTCTGGAAAGTTGACCAAAGCCATGATTATATCTTTATTTATAATTTTTTATTTTATTTTTTACAAATTCTGAAGTGTCCAAGCACAAATTCTTATGAAGCAGGACTTGTGCAGTAATTCATGTCAACAGGTATGACGTGTGTCAGTGGGCCCTCCTCTCCCTCTCCTGCTGCGTCGCGCGCTCTCGTCCTGCGTTGCTCCAGCTGCTGCCGCTGCTGCTGTTGTCTGCCTGCCTGACGGTGCGTGCGTGCGTGCGATCTCCTTTCCGCTCGCACCGTGCTGCTGCTCTTCAATGTAGCAAAGACCATGACAGGCATCGCCGCCGCCTCCTTCTTCTCCAACATTTGCCAGTTCGGAGGCTGCGGACTGCACTTCGAGTCGCTGGCCGAGCTCATCGTGCACATCGAGGATAATCACATCGGTAAGTGCGCTCGCGGAAACAGAATCGGTGCCGCTGCAGCGCGCGCAGCAATGGCCGGCTCGCGCGCACCACAATCTCGCTCACTTCCTGCGTCGCAGCGGCGCTGTTGCTAGGTGTGGTGAAGCGATGGGACTTCAGTGTTTTGCTCGATTTCGTGACGCTTATAGGTATCGATAGCACCAGTTCTGAACTCATTCGGGGTTTGTTAAGCCCCTTCAAAGTGACATGGTCTGAACGTGTAAACACAAGCGGTGGTATTACAATGTGAATGTTATTTTCTGCGCAAGGCCCCCAGACACGGAGCTGCTGCTGAGATGTATCCATCTCACCCGCTCAGAGCAGCTCATAAACACTAAACGCATGGATAATACGGATTAAAGTCCCCGAGAAGTGATTAAATACATGTTACTAATGCACCATCAGAGCTTCCTTAAAATGCTAAATGTAACGGGTACGTACGGTCATGATCCTTGCGTCATAATAATGATGTGCAGTGATCATGATGGACATACAAATGCATTAATAGGCTATAACATGCACACAATAGAAAGCAGTGGCATATCAGCATCAGATGACTATGCGAGTAGGTGTTAACTTATAGAATCATGCCCAGATATAGGCTATTATGTTGTGTGTATTAATGGTGTATTACAATGTCCTGTATGAAATATAGCACTATGATGGCTTCAATTTCAGTGCTATAAGATCTCAGTTGTCTCGTCAACAAAGTAATTAAAAGTAATTGTTAAAAGTAATTGTGTTTTTTACTGTTAAAATAAGTCACATTGTAAAATAAAAAGTCATAATTATGAGAAATAAAGACAGACAAAATATTAATTGCTGGCTGCAATATATTTAAAAATGTTTAACTAATTAGAATGAGTTGGGTTGAATGAATGATTAAATTACGGCTGTTTACACGACACCGTTTTCAACTAAAAACGTATGCCATTCGTTTACAGGACAACGGCGTTTTAGGTGCCTGAAAACGCAATCTTTTGAAAACGGGTTTCAAAGTGCAAGTTTTTGAAAACAGTCTCTGTGTGTAGCTACATAAAAAACGGGAATCTCTGAAAACAATGACGTCATGCACATGCGTATTATGTGTTCAGTCTATAGTTTTTCTTCGCCATCTAATGGGCTGGCAGCAGAATACTGCGTTTTTAGTCGGGTTTTTTTGTCGTTTTCGCGGATCGTTTTGACAATGGTGTCGTCTGCACGTGGAAAACTCAAAGGAAAAACTTCTTCGTTTTAAGTCCAATTTATACTTCTGCGTCGAACTCACGCCGTAGCTACGTCGTAGGCTGTGTGTAGCGCGCGTTCGGCGTACCCTGACGTGCACCTCTCCAAAAATGTAACAGCGCGTCAATTCTACGCGGACGCAAGCGCTGTGATGGGTCTACTAGAACCGCTCCCCGGGTTTCACATGCTCCCTCTGCATGTGTAATTGCGCGTCAACGCGGACAACGACGAGAAGTATAAATGAAAACCAACGCGTAGTCTATAGCGTAGAGGCTCCGGCATAGGTCCGACGCAGAAGTATAAATCAGAAGCATATCGTTGTTGTGTAAACGTACCCTTACGCATTAAGACTTCACTTGTTTCATTACTGGATGTAGATGAATCAAAATGTAACAGTCACTTGTCGCCACCTACTGGTGACAATCATTGAAGCGCTAAGTTACTTTCTAAAGGAGGTCTGCTCAGTTAATCGCTAATGTAGACATTGTATCCAAACTTTAAACTTTTATCCCAGTACTTTTGTGATAATATGAATGTTTGTAAGACAGAAATAAGAATACTGTGTAGTTGAAAAGACTGTTTGTAAAGCGGTTTCATACCTATACATGACAACTGCTTTCTCTGGCTCAGAGGCAGTGTGAACACAGATTTGAATGTTCCACTGTGATTTTGCCAAAGGTTTAATAGACAGCTGAATCGTTGTCATTTAAGAGTTAGATCGTGTGGGTGTTTGAATCGAGATCGCACTTTTTTAACGATTATTCATGCAACATGTCCAGATCTCAGTCATAAGGTGGCCCTGGAGCCTATCAGGGTCTGATTTGTTGTCATTCAGGGGTCGCACTGGGGTCAGGAAACCCTTTTGAATCCCAGCCTGCAGAACTCTTATCCAGTAGAACGGATGTGTAGGGTCAAGGCCCTTTTATGGCCTGTATTGCCTTGCTGAATCAATATAGTGTTATGGTTATCTTAATGCAGAAATAACTGTATAGATTTGTGCTTGTAAATGTGTGATAAATAAAATGGGTTCTTAAGGTTTTGCACAAAATCAACAGTGCTCGCTGGTTTTCTGGGCTGTTAGATACACAGAAATAGAGCGAAAGTAAACATGAAATGACCGAGGGCCTCTAAGTGACGTCTGAAAATGTAAGCATAGCATGAGATGGAATGCTGGTTTGCTTTGAGCACAGCTGAAAAAGGGTATTACATACCTGTCTGTCATTATCAATATGCTTTCTTGATATCTTTCATTTTTGTGTGATCTAGTCTCTATAGTGTTGATGGAATGTCTCAGTCAAGGGTGCTGGATCTGGACTCTGCTGCTGTAATTTAACTCCGTTGAACTACCTGTCCAGTAGACTCTGGCAGGAGCCTGTGTGGAGTGGATTTGTAAGGAGAAACCTGATTTCTAGAGACAAAGACCCCCCCCTCCCCCATACTTCCATGGTGACTGATGTTCCCTGTTAGCTCAGCTGGTCTGTGAGAGGGAGATCAGGAGAACTGGTGGAAATCATCAGTCCAGTCAACCGTTTTAGCCTGAGGTGCTTTCTGCCATCAATACACACTCTGCAGCTCAGAGACTCAGCAGTTGAATGAATTTTGCCATGTGTGCATCACTCTTTGAAAGTTTAGTGTGCTATCTCACAGAGTTTGTCAAATCAAAATTGACAATTCTTATTTTTTATGGAATATTGCAGTGTTTATTATAAATGATTTAATCCGAAATCGCAATTCCCCATGGTCAAAATCAAGTCCCGCCCCACATTTGTTTTTGTCCATTTCACTGGATATATGTCACAATAGAGATGAAAAGACTGTTTCATGCTGACTTTAAAGTAAGGCGGAAGTATTTGCAGAATTATGTGATCTAATGGTGCAAAATATACCAGTATCAGTTATAGATGTTAGAGATGAATTACATTTTTCATTATCAGTCCATGTTTGTATATTGTATATGATATTTATATTATTTGTATTATTTATTAATTAATTTGATTATTTTATTCATTTTTATTATTAATTATATTTATATTTTTATAATGAATACATTTTACTTTATTTAGATAAATCAGTATAGATTTTAATAATGGTGCATCCCTAACATGGTCTTTAATGTCTGATCTAAACTAGGCCTTCCTGTAGTTTGAAGTGTCAGATGCTAAAGGCTTGTTTTCAAATGAGATATTTTACATGCAAGTAGGTCATAAAGATTGTACAGGAGATATAGTAAGGGAACATTTTGCATACTAAATCAATCCTGCATATATAATCTTCAAAATCATCTGCAGTTGACCCAGTTCATAAGGACGCAGTGAAATCGCACAATTTATATTCACCTTGCTATGTAATATTTTGAATTTCTCTACTTGTCCCAACCTATGTTAAGGTCCACGCAACCTACGTTCAGTCATGCGACATTGATCTGAAGTGGAATAACAGCGACTGAAGGTTTTATCTAGTGATTGGGGCCATTACTATGCATAGTAGATGAGAGGCACCAACGAACGGCCCAATGTCAGTGGTAAAATTAACATTAATACTTTCCTTTTTAGCAGAATTAACCTTATATTAAGTACATTTAAGCAACCTCCACCGCCGTCCTGTCACTATGATTACAACCAATGTGGATGTGCACAGGGAGAGATCATTGAGCAAGTCTGACTTAAAAAATATGTCAAAAGCATGTTAAAGATGCACTCAGTAAGTAGCCTATAGCTGGGTATTATCATAGACAGTAAAAGAAATGGACACAGCGACCCCATAGACTTCAACGGAGAAAAGTGAAGTCAATTAGAAGCACTCACTTCCTGATTGCCAAGTGCACTGCGCAGGCTCAAACTGAGCTGGACGACGTAGATGTGACGTGAGCAACCTGTCTCACAGTTGTACGTCTTCTAGTAGCTGTGCCAAGAGGAATCTGAATCATTCCCTTCCGAATCTTGCAGAGCCGGAGATCGTGAGTATTAGCTGTCCATGAGCTAGCAGCAGGAGCAACTTTATGACTCTCTATGGGCTTCTCCCTTTACTTTATGCCTCCACGTCCCCCCGTTTGCGCGCGAGCTTCTACTTCTGTCTATACGGTAATTTCTGTACTGTGCGACAGAGAGTCGCGTGTTATGACGCAATCGTTAGCCTATTTTTACAGAAACTGCTTCTACGGGGCCATAACGTAAGATACAAGGTAATGGAGTCTTTTATACATAGTCGTGTTTCTTTAGAAATAAACAATGGACAAATGGAGTCTTTAAACGCCTCAGATGTAAAGTTATTCGCTGTCAAAGTGACGCCAAAATGAATGGGAGTCAATAGAATGCTAACAGCAAGTGAAGGCTTGTTAGCCAATGGCGGCCCCCGGGGAGACTTCAGTTTCCGGCTGGTGGATTACCCCCTTGGGTATTATTTGTCATACTAGTGTCAGCAGTCTTGGACTTTATACTGACACCTATTGGCCTGGATGCATTAAATTAGTTTAATAACTGATTCTGCTTCAGAGCAAAGTTCTTTGTTTATGTTGGGGGTAGTCGTGGCCTAATGGTTTGAGAGTCAGACTGGTAACGCAAAGGGTCGATTCTCAATACTGACAAGAAACGATTGTGGTGCCCTTGAGCAAGGCATCTAACCCCCAATCGCTACCCGGGCGCCACAGCTAAAATGGCTGCCCACTGCTCTGGGTGTGTGTGTCCACGGTTTGCTTTGTGTGTGTGTGTTCACTGCTCCTAATGTGTGCATTAACATGGATGGGTTAAAGGCAGAGGACA